TAATAATAATAATAATAATAGTAATAAACGAGAGAGAGAGAGAGATAGATAGATTAATTAAAAAAAAAAAGGCGAGACATGCTGGGAATGTAGATACACGCAGTCGGTGGTCTTTTATATTCCTTTTTTTTTTTCTTTCTTCTTTATATAAAAATAGATACGTTCTTTTTTTTTTCTGTTTCATTAGAGAAATAATAATTCCACCAGAACTATTATTATTATTACTATTATTATCTTTAATAATAATAATAACAATAATAATAAAAGAGGTTGATCCCTATTGTTTCTTCTTGCTAGAGTTCATTGTCATTAATCTAAGCTACATACGCTTGCCAACACAATCGTAATAAAACTCCCTCAACTTTCCAATATACACCAACACAATGAAAAATCAATATATATATATATATATATATATATAATCAGAGAAATAACACACACATATATATATACATATATACACATATACAAAAACACACACCAAAATTAATCATAATACCAAAACCCTCAAATAAAACACCACCTGTTTTTCTCTTTCTCTCTTTTTCTTTTTCTTTTTTTTACCTTTCTTTTCCTTTTTCTCTCCTCTCTCTTTCTCTCTCTCTCTTTCTTTCTTTCTTTCTTTTTCATTTAATCTCTTTTACCACCACCCCCTTTACCACGTGCCAACACACTACGGCGTGCGCCTGCCCTTGCCGAGACCGGAACAGCCGCACTTACTTCCGTGTGGCCATTCCCCACCGCATTTAAACTACCACCACCATTCCCACCACTATTACTATTATTACCAACACCACTATTATTATTATTATTCTTTCCTCCTCCTCCTCCTCCAGATCCAGGTGTGGTTGCTCTTTCTTCTCCAACATATGTTTGTAAAACTGCAAGTAGTAATGTAAATTGTAATAGTACACATACAATGGTTCCATACTCCCGTTGTAATGCCATTAATCGAAATCGCACAGCATAAGTGACGTAAAAGCGTAGTAACCATAAACGAAATCTATCTCCAATAGCAAGAGATCCTTCACAATGTTGCCAACAAAATGCCTGATGTCGTTCATTTATAGGAAAAAAATGAAACCACATATTACCAAGAAATGATTCTGTAAGTGGATTGGTTACTAATCGTGGTGATAGTCCATCATCTGCAATACATGTTGTACACTCCTCCTGTTCTTTTTCTGCAAGAAGATATTCCACAAATTCATCATATCGACGATGAAGTAATGCGGCTCCGCGGGGTTCTTGCGATGCGAAGTACTGCTCCACCCGCGAGATTACCACAGCGACTCTTTTTATTTTCTCCGCTCTATTTCTATCCAATGCGGTATCACAACCAAAACTGCTCGGGTTTTCCTCACATGCACGCAGAAATGCACTCTGGGGTTTATCATAACCCTCCGTTGCTCGAAGAAGTGGTGTAGACAATGCGTACTGAAAAGAATCTAATGTGCGAAGGACATCTCCACAAATCTCACAGTCGCCATTTGTACTTAACATGGACGCAATACGAGCCAAAACATATGGGGTTGATGGTAAACGATTGACATCGGAGTACATAATCACAAACATCGCCCCAATAAGTATCATATAAATAGTCGAGAAAAATGAAGAACACATCACATAAATATATATATGTATATATTCTCCAATATCCTTTAGACAATAAACTTCTTCCAATTAATATCTTAAGAAGAATTGGTCTCAAGCTACCACAATATCAACTGCAATAATTTACGTTTTACAAGTAAAAAAAAAAAACAACTAACAAGTAGGATCGTAAATTGCTAGTTCTTCCACAAGCCTTGAGACCCACAAAACCTATATCTCAACACGCACACACACACACACGCCCTTTTCCTACTGCTGAGGGTGAAACGAACTGTATACAAATTACAAGACACACCTCAAACAGTCTCAACAGCCCTTATTATACTAGGCACTAATTTACCTTTTTCCTATATATTAAGCACATGTTATTAAATGTTTATGAAACAAAAGAAACGAAGAAAAAAAGAAGAGAAGCGAAACCAGGAAAGAAAATAACAAATAAACAAAGACCACAGAGACCAAAGAGAAACACAAAACACACAATTACATGGGTATATACCCCCACCCTCTCTCT